ATTATCTGCTTTAGTAATAGGATCCTATCGAGCTGTTTTAATTACACTTGTCGTCACTATCCTTCTTCTTGCCGTGTTTTTTTTTTTTTTTTTACAATTTGTTTTTTGATATTTTTTGAAACAAAAATTTAAAGGAAGCAAAATGTTACATTATTTGTTGCAAGACACATATAGTGTATTAATGAATGGATGAGATTTTATTAGCATATCAAAAAATTTTTCACTATATTATCTATTCTATACTTCTATTTCAATAATGCTCTTATTGCTTTCTTTAATGATAGCAATTAGCAGCAGTTATCAAACGCTAATCAATAGGACTGTTACTGTTAAAATAATGTTCTTTTTGTACTATTCAAATTTCTCCGTTTTCAAAACTGTCTTCTCTCTCTATTCCTTTTCTCTTCATTTCTTTCTTTTAGCTCATTCTGAAATTTTTTTGTCTGTTATCGTTATTTTTTTTTTATTTTTGTTTTTGATCTTCTTTGAGAACAACGCCCTTTTACGCATAATCAATTATTGCTGTGCAGTAAGCGTATAAAGGAAGGACAACTAAAAAACAAAAAAATAGTATAGTTTTTAAAGTTGTCTACTCAAAAAATGAAAAAAAATATACTGCTACTTTTTGTCTTTCTTAATTAATTTTTTTTTACTCTATCTTTTTTTTTCGTTTGAAACAAAATGATTCAGACTGACCAGAAAAAAAAAAAAAAAATTTTCAACGAGTAAAAGACCAATTAGACCAATTAAAGGCAGGCAAAAATAAATACACACAAATACATCAAAAGAAAAAAAAAAACAGAAGGAAAGATTAAAAAAAAATTTATTCCACTTACAGCTAAAGAATTTTTTGATTCTAATCTGTCTGAAGTTTTACTCTCGGGTACTGCTGAGTGTCAAATTACAACAATGCTTCGTTTTTATTTGTATACTTGTTGTCTATAGTCTTTTAAATTGTCTTCTAGCACATTTTTAAAACTAATTGATACATTGACATTAATAGGCAAAAAAAAAAGGAACATTTAACATCATTACTATCAACGAAAAAACAGCAGCTACAGAATAGCAATTACTTCTTTTCTGCTTTTTTTTTTCTTTTGTTTTAACTGATTATGAACGTTTTTAACGTTTTTTACCTTACTTTGTTTCTGTTTTTGTTCTTCTGTTGCACCAATTTCATCTAATCTATTTGTATTGATTCTGGTCATCAAAAAGACAAAAGTGCAAAAATCTTTCTTTATTACCTATTTAGATGTGTATTAGAAAAGTTTTGTTCTGCATTATGCTCTTTTCTTTTCTTACTGTTTATGGTCTTTGTTACTTTTTTTTTGCCTTATGTTTATTGATAACATAACAGATGGGGCGGAAAAGGAAAGAATGTAAACATTTATTGGATTCTATAGTTTTCTATGAGTTAAGAACAGGAAACAGTTAATAATTTGAAGATGTAAAATTGATGTTGCTGTTGCTGCTGCTTTAGACTTTGAAGATTATATTTGAAAGTATTATAAATTTTAAAATTGGCAACGGTTTTTTTTTTTTTTTTTTT